AAAACCCATACTACGAGGGGGCGGGAGTGGGAAATTATAAAGGCGAGTTAAAAGAGCTTTTACATCTCCCTCCGACGATGTCCCCTTTCAATTATTGGAGTTACTGGCTCGTGAAACCATTGACATGGTCGACGTGCCACACCCACTTTATATATCAGAAACTAGTGGTGGGCGATACTGGTAAAAATGGATTTGATCCAATACCGATTGATATCAGCCCATATTGGGAGTATCGATACAGTTTTGATACGATATTTAGACCACACCTATGGAGTCACACCTCTCATTATTGACTGTTTTCATTGATGTTTTCATGCACGTTTATCCACGTGTGTCTATTATATGCCATTAACATTAAAATTTTTTTATTAATATTATTTAACCCTAATAAATGGGCGTGATCAACGCATTGATCTAGATTCCTTCAAAATTTCGATACTGTAAAATATCATTTGTATTGATGTAATATCGATATATTGCCCACCACTATCAGAAACTAATGGCATTATTAAATTAATAAAAAATTAACAGATCAGCCTTTTATGTATAGTGTATTCTTATTGGTTGCTGCTTTTAGTGAAGATACACAAGTTCACATGAAGAGTGATTAGTCCCAGTATACTCTGTCTTGTATGAGGTGATAGTTAGGATAAGTATTAATACAAGTCCATTCGTGTCGCTTGTCTAGCCCGAATGCCCTTATACCATTATTATCCATTAGTGACTGGAGGATAAGTAGTATTGACTCAGTATACAATGAATTATTCCTTAGATTCAGTTCAACTAGTGATGAGTTATTGAGGAGGAGGTGAGAAAGAACTTGTCCACTAGTAGAAGTGATGAGTGGATTATTCTTAAGATCTAATGAGGTAAGTGTAGAGTTGTGTTCAAGTGCTTGACAGATACTAGTAACTCCTCTATCACTAATGGAGTGGTCCCTGATGACTAGTTCTTGTATTGTTTTATTATTGGTTAGTAGTATACACAAGTACTGGATACAATCATTAGTCAATGGAGAGTGGTATATCTCAAGTCTCCTCAGGTTTAGTGTATGCAGTTTAGTTGATGATAGTAGAGATACTGTACTATTAGTAGATGATGAGTGGAGTAGAATCTCCTTATGATTATTATTAATATTACCAATCATTTCATTACACTCAACTGGAGATGGAGAGGTAAGGATTACCCTGTTACTGTACCAGTACACTCTCCCAGTGACTCCTAATATTAACCAAAGGATTATACTTACATACATGTATGATACACATATTCACATCATCTGCATATACAAACACACACATCTTGCTAGTTGTCACTACATCCAATAAATACACTCACTCAAAATACATGTACATACACACATGTGTGTACATATGTAGGGAGAGGAATGTAATGTATAACATTACATGTATAAAAAAATTATTGTACAAGATATACATACATGTATACACATGACATTACTGTGTTCAAGAATAATTCTACTGACTGTCACAATAATCACAAATATTACCTTTATCATGTTGTTCCTTGTCTTGCCTCAGTGCGGATATCGTAACAGGATCATCTTTAATAGTCTCCAAGAAAAGAGAAGCTTTCTCATCATTACTAGATGAATCATTCCTTATCTTTTGCAGAATAGGAAGGGACACTTCTTCCACTGACAGTATAAACTCTAACAATTGAAGTGACTCCAACATTGAGTAAACACAACTGCTAAGAATGTCTCCCGAATCACCAGACACCAAGGATCTTCCATACCATTTAAATCTATCATACTTGTTGTATATCTCCAGCTGCTCTCCCTCACTGAATGAAATATCACTCCTCCTTATTCCATGATAGCCAATACATGCTGTGTAAATAGATTCTGCTGTTGGTGCATCCAGTGATTGTGTACATTGATCCTTCTCTATACAATATATCAATCAGTTAATGATTTAATTACTAACATATGATATCACATACTCTCAATATTTCCCTTTTGACTCATCAGCAGTTGTTCACTAGTTAATGATATATTTTCTTGCAGTAACTCAATCTCTTTCATATACTCCACTAATGCCTCCTCTCTTCCTGTGATGAGGTAGTATAGACAGATTATACCAGTAGAGTCAGTACCTGCTTTCATTAGGAGAGAGGTTTGGAAATACTGAGTCTCTGATTTCTTTGATTTGAATATTCTATTCATCAAATTCTCTCTAGTCAGTAGCTTCACTTTCAGTTTAGACTCTACAGTAATGACAAGTAAGAATTTTAATTTATAAGATAATCATACTGATTGTTCAAACCTGGTATCTGTAGTGTCCTTTCAATATACTCTATACAAATAAAAATATATTAATAAAAATCTTCATCATTCACTAATTATACCTTTTCTTTTTTTGATAATATTTAATTGTTTATCTTGTTCAAATATTGATCCTATACCATTAGTAAGTAACATCAGTACTTGAGTAATAGATCAACTCACACACCTTCTTTGTAATCAAGTAAAGTCCTCAGTTCTTGTTCCTCTCCATCAGCTAGTTTAATCTCCTCTGCAAGACACTCATTATTCATTACCTATAATCAGTACATAATATTAAACAAGGTCTCATACAGTTACAGTATCTTATACTTTGTATCTGATCCTTTTATCATAGACAGTGTAGTGGCCAATGGTTAGTCTAATTAAACTGAATTCCTTCATCAAGACTGTTAGGTTGTCTTGTGCTTCCAAGAGAAGAGCAGCTAGTAAATGATGTGGAGCATAACAGATGATAATGATGGAGTTCCCACGATGAATGCTTCGTACAATAATCCTCTTTCCCAAAGTCCTCAATGCTTTCTC